TATATTAAATTTAACACTTTTATTAAGATGTAATTCATTTACCATAAAATTAATCCTTTTTGACAATACATATATTGGTGATATTCACAAAGTAACCATCAACACTATCTAATTCCAGAAAAATTTCATCACCCCAATGAGAAATCTAGCTGGGTTGTTAAGCTTACACTCAAGGGGCTAAAGTAGGAGGATTCCAAGTTCCAGGCCAGCCTCAGCAAATTAGCAACTTAGGGAGGCTCTAAGCAATTTAGCAAGACCCTGTTTCGGAATAAAAAATAAAAATGGAAGGGGCTGTAGCTCAGTGGTAAAGCAACCCAGGGTTAAATCGCCAGTACCAAAAAGAAAAAGAAAAAAAAAATCTATAACATTAGCAGTCACTCTCCATTCCACTCTGTTCCACCCTTTCCAACCCCTAGTAACCACTAATCTACTTTGTCTTACAGACTTGCCTACTCTGGTCATTTCAAATAGAATGTACAGTATGTGGATTTATGTGTCTGGCTTCTTTCACTTAGATTAAAAAAATGTTTTTAAGGTTTATCCATGTTGTGACATACATTAGTACTTTCTTTATATGGCTTAGAAATATTCCATTGAATAGATATTACCACATTTTACTTACTCATTATCCACTGATAGACATTTGGGTTATTTCCACTTTGGGCTCTTATGAATAATAATAATATAACATTTGTGTGCAAGTTTTTGTGGGAACATGTTTCTTCAATTCTCTTCAGTAGATATGTAGGAATAGATTTTTGGTTGAGTATATTAATTTTATAATTTAAAAATACACACACAGAAAACTGATTTTTAGTGGAAAATGTTGACTTTCTGTGCCATCAAACTCGGGGCTGCACAAATACCATTTCCTTCTACAAAGGACAAATTATTATATCAGAGAAGACAGGCAGAAGAAAAGCAAAACAAAGATGGCCCTACCTGACAAGGCATGAGCCTCTGCCAGGCATTTATAATAGATAGTGAAATTTAGGATGCCAGCAAAGATGCATTAATACAATGGGGTTGTAAACTGTGTAAAATTCCTGTATTTATTGGCAAAGCTAGAACAAAGACAATATTTCTATGTATATTCACATTTTTTTCATGTTTTCTCTTACCACGATTTTCAAGAGCCAGCTACATTTTATTTTTTGATTTAAAATACCATTTCACAAACTCAACCAGCATAAATTAAACATTTATTACACCAAGGCAGAAAATTGTAAAACAATGCAATGCTAATAATTAATATGATCTCCATCTACTTTCAGGAAAAACAGGTTAAGCTAACCACATAAAAATCTTAACATCAAAATTGTTCAGTATAATCCATTTAAACAAGTAAAGATAAAGTACTTATTTCATATGCAAACTATGCTGAAGCAACACATTCTAACAAACCTGAACTCTTTATTGTGTCCTTTGCAAGTTACAAATTTCTTATAGTTCAGCAACATTCCAATAATATTATAGAGTTGATAGAGTTGTCTATCTAATTGCTAAGAAAAAACTAGAAAATTCTATATCACAGTTCATGGTTAGAAAGTGTGGACTTGTGAGACTTTTTTTTTCCTTTTTCTTTCTTTCCACATTACTTTTTTTTTAATATTTATTTTTTAGTTGTAGTTGGACACAATACACTTATTTTATTTATCTGTATGTGGTGCTGAGGATTGAACCAAGGGCCTTGCACAAGCACTCTACCGCTGAGCCACAACCTCAGCCCCTTTCCACATTACTTTTGAGACTTTACCTTCAAATTCTTTCTCACTCCCTTATTAGCTATGTGACCTTAGGCAAATTACTTAAACTTTCTGAATCTCAGTGTCCTAATAAAATGTGCATAAAGATACATGCTTTTAGCTGGGTGTGGTAGCCCAGGCCTGTAATCCCCACAGCTCCAGAGGCTGAGACGGGAAGATCATGAGTTAAACGCCAGTCTCAACTCAGTGAGGCCCTGTCTCTAAATAAAATATAAAAAAGGGATGGGGATGTGGCTCAGTGGTTAAGTGCCCCTGTGTTCAATCCCTGGCACAAAAAGAAACAAACAAACAAGAAAAAAACATGCTTTTGGAGTCTCAATAAGAAAAAAAAAAAAAAAAAGCAATAATTTGGCACAAAGCATGTATTCAATAAATAACAGCTGCTGTTGTTCTTTTAAATCTTATTTTAAATATTAAGTTGTTTATGCCAATAATTTTCCTTAGATGAATATAGGGGGAGAAATGTGCTCTTCTATAAGACAAATATTGATGTTGCTTTTTTTTATGTCCACCCCAGTTTTAAAACAAAGAGATGCTAGCTACCACGAGGCGTGGCATAAGAAACCATAAAGTCTAAGCAGTTATATCATTTGTGTTACAAATAAAAATGATCTAGTCATTTTGATCATGATGCACATTTACTCCTGATTCTTGTTTCAAAATTATTATGTTCTCTTTGATGTATTAATGAGAAATAACCCATTATGTAGCATTCTATGGTAGGGGGAAAAAATCACTTTTGCAAAGATTTATAAGCATCAAATCCATATGCAGGCAGAAATGGAAATTACCTGGACTTTTGCATGTTGAATACATATAAGTTAACATAACATGTTCTATCTGAATTCATCACTGTCAACCACTACAAAATGAAAGTTCAGTTATTCGATGTATGGTGAAATCTCAGCTTTTTAGAACTCTAGTTAAATGTATTTATTATTAATTGATGTTCAGGGAAGAGGTAAAATGTGCAACTACTGGAATTAAGCATTTAGTCACAAAACATCTAACCTCTGGAATTCTAAAATTGATAAATAACCATTTAGTCAAAATTTTAACTGGCTACATCATAGTGCAGTACCATACTATGACAATAATTTTAATGTAGTTATTGGTTAATAAAAAACACTGTTCTAGGGCTGGGGATGTGGCTCAAGCGGTAGCGTGCCCGCCTGGCATGCGTGCGGCCGGGATTCGATCCTCAGCACCACATACAAACAAAGATGTTGTGTCCGCCGAAAACTAGAAAATAAATATTGAAGAATTCTCTCCCTCTCTCTCTCACACACTCTCTTTATTAAAAAAAAAACAAAAAAAAAAAACACTGTTCTATTTAATAGTCATATTACCAAGGCAGCCAGATAACTCCATATTCTCTGAAATGCAAAACTCTGGCTGAAATTGAAGAGACAAACTCTAAAATACATAGGAAGGATGCATTCACAGATTCACAAATTAGGTTGGATACTTGTGGGCACATTTGCCATAAAAAGACATAACTGCCAGTCCTTCTATCAATCAAGTAATTTAAATTCCACATGATTATTAGTCCCTAGTAACTACCAATACAGTCCACCCATTCATGACCTTGTCTAATGTTCCTCTCTGTGTGCTGACACCTGATCCATCTTTTCTTAGACTTTACTACACACTAAAACTCCGTGTATTGCTAGGCACAGTGGCTCATTCTTATAATTGGGAGGCTGAGGAGGATTATTGAAAGTTCAAGGTCAGTCTGGGTAACTTCATGGGATCACATTTCAAAGTTAATTTAAAAAAATAAGGTCTGGGTATATAGCTTAGTGGTAGAACACTTGCCTAGCATGTGCGAAGTTTTGGGGTCAATCCTTAGAGGGAGGAGGAATGCAGGGGGGACATCCATACATTTACCCTTTTATGCCTTTAACTTCTGGTACAAACAATAGGTACACAAACACACAATTGAAAGGAGAAAGTCAAAATCACAGTATCTTATAACAAAAGGGAAAAATAATTTTTACTTGACACTTTTGAATCGATCAGAATCCATGAAAAACTACCATATACTTATAACATGCCAATTTGTTATAGGTTGATACAGATGCATGCACACGTGCACATAACCTCCCCCACCACCACACACATGCCCTTCTTCCTGCTCTAGCCATTTCATTAAAATGCCTGAATCAGAGAAAGCCCTGTTCGGTTCCAATCTTGTCGATCACATTCCCACTTAGTATAGTCCATAGCGGCATCATTATGATAACCAAGTGGCATTCTGTTTAACACACATTGAGTGAAACCTTTATAGTTTGGGGGACAATAAGCAGCAATATAATCAAAAGACAAACAAGAAAACACAGGATTTTCTTTTAGTGATAAATATGACAATGGTATTTAAGCCATTAATTTTTTTATTTGAAACTAATCAAGCCCTAAAAATTGCTTCATTAAAAAAAAACATTAATTTAGAATATTTTTTAAATCTCTAGGATGTGCTATTTTGCATATAAAATGTGATAGAATAAACAAGCAAGAAAAGGCAATTTTCACATGCACCTGAAAAATCGCCACAGGCATTTTATCAAAACACACTATCAGTGCCTATATTTACCATACCTGAACATACTGTTCTGCCATGCTGCATGTTAACAAAAAAATGCAAAACAAAAACAGGGACATGTTAGCAGAGTAAAATGTAAAACTATCGCATGGAATATTATAAAATTAATTCACAAGCTTTCATATCTAGTATTACTATGGATCAGATAATTCAACTTTTTTTAACTCAATTAACATGCCATGAAGCTATAAGTCATAAGGGGATTACCCAAGAGACCAGTTTCATTTGTTAAAATGCTTTGTTCTTTTCAGATTTCAGAGCAAGTTGTAAGATCCTGTTACAAGAGTTTCCTTGTTTAGGTCAATTGTCTAATTCACTTATTGGAGCAATACAGAGATGAAGAGAACAAGGACATGGCTTTTAGTTTATGTCTACTTGAAAAACAAAGATTTTTGTCATTATTTAGCATCCAGTAAAAATAACCATTGTCAAAGTGAAGCACTACCTCAAGTCTGGAATAATAAAACTAAGGTAACATTAGGCATGAAGTATTCATTTGAACTGAAAAAAAAAAAAACAAAAAAAAAAAAGCTGAGTTATTCATGGTTCTTGGTTCCAGAGTATGAACACCCCTGCAGAATTTTTCAAAATATTCAAAAACACAATGCTTATTGCCCCTCTCCAGTACTTACTTCTCTTCTGAGACACAGCCTGCAGGCAGGCAGTCACAATATCACAGTTCCTCTGTAGTTTATGCAAAAGCCTATCTTTCTGCTTCAGCTGCCGAAGTAACTTGGCCGACTGAATGCCAATTCTGTACTTGAGCTCCTGAAGGATCGTCTTCAATTCATTAGGGTCTATAAAGAAAGAAAAATAGAAAGAACAATAAATACCTTGAGAGGAATATAAATTTCAATGTGATACTGGTCAACAGATAAATATCTAGAACATTCATTTAAGCCAACCAATTCCAGGTTCTTCCCAATATCACATACATGCATTCATCTAAGACATTCCTCAAAAAAGCCACTTATTCATCTCCTGTTCTATTCATGAGGTAAATGCTGTGAATTTAACCCTTGAGGCTACTGTAGCATACAAGCAATGATTCTTGTTTTTATCATTCCTGGTTGCTTCTGAAATCTGGCATGTACTTTTCTTATTTCTTTCTCTTTTGGGGAGAAGGGGTACTAGGCGTTGAACCCAAGGGTGCTTAACTATTGAGTCAAATCCCCAGCCCTTTTTAAATTTTATTTAGAGACAGGGTCTCATTAAGTTGCTTGCTTAGGGCCGGGCATGGTGGCACAGGCCTGTAATCCCATTGGCTCAGGAGGCTGAGACAGGAGGATCTCGAGTTCACAGTCAGCCTCATCAACAGTAAGGTGCTAAGCAACTCAGTAAGACCCTGTCTCTAAATAAAATACAAAATAGGGCTAGGGTTGAGGATGTGACTCAGTGGTTGAGTGTCCCTGAGTTCAATCACTGGCACCCCCCGCCCCCAAAAAAAGAAACATATTAAGTTGCTTAGGGCCTGGCTAAGTTGCTAAGGCTGGCTTTGAACCTGAAAACCTCCTGCCTCAGCCTCCCAAGCTACTGCACCCAGTTGGTATGTACATTTTTTGTATTATTAAAGTACTCAGGTGGTAAGCCTGTAAGATAAGTTAATCATTAATGTAAAAAACTAAAAAAGATTCTTAATAGCTGATTAAAATTTTCTTTTAAACTATTTATTCTTGTAAATTATCATCCTTCTAAATGATTTTCCCACATTTTGCAATGTAGAGGAATGTAGTAATACTGACTTTGTGTTACACAATCTTCAAATAGCCTATTAGGTATAATATTATAATATTTCATTTTTAGAGACTTGGTAAGTTTTCATATATAATAGAAAATATATTTCCTTTTAACAGATAAATTAGTATACATCTTTTTTTTTTTTTTGTACCAGGGATTGAACTCAGACACACTCAACCACTGAGTCACATCCCCAGCCCTATTTTGTATTTTATTTATTTTTTTAATTTTTATTAGTTATTGATGGAACTTTATGAATTTATTTGTTTATATGTGGTGCTGAGAATCAAACCCAGTGCCTCACACAAGTACTCTACCACTGAGCCACACCCCCTGCCCTATTTTGTATTTTATTTAGAGATAGGGTCTCACTGAGTTGCTTAGCCCCTCGCTTTTTGCTGAAGCTGGCTTTGAACCCGCGATCCTCCTGCCTCAGCCTTCCAAAGTCTCCATTCTTAAAACTAACATTCACAAAAGCATGAGATAATGGGAAAACCCTATCTCATTCCCAGTAACTCCTAGGTATCTATGGCTCTGTCATTCTCTGAATTATATGCACTGTTTATGAGAAGAATTTTCAGAGTTCAGTGTGGAAATGTCTTCTCCAATAATATCAGCCAGTATCAAAACATCCCAGGGACAGAAGTGGGTCTACATTTTTGAATGCCCTACACCAGCCACTGCCCCTTTCACAGTATTAAGTAACTGAGGAAAAACTGAGAAAATTGTCACCTGTGATCAATTTCCTCTCTAAGGAATTCTAGTGTATATGACAACAAAAATAATCTCTAGCATTCATTGAGCACTTTATGCATATTAACTTATGAAATTCTCAGCACAGCCCTCTGACCCATTATCATTATCATCCTTATTTACAAAAAAAATGAAAGGTTAAACAGCTTGCCCAAGGTCACACAGCTAGTAAGGAACACTGGTGGGATATCAACCCAGGAGTCTAACTCCAAAGTTCATCCCTTTGACCATGGGAATACTGACAGTCCAGATTTCCTGAGAAACCATTTTGGTACCTCACCTAAAGAAAGAGCCACATGTTAAATATCAAAATAGGCGCTACATTCTCTTATTGAATGTAGTTTATTCCTAATCCTTTTTATTTTTTATTTTGAGACAGTTTTATTTTTTATTTTGGCTAAGTTGCTTAGGACCTTGCTAAATTGCTGAGGCTGGCCTCAAACTTGTGATCCTCCTGCCTTAGCCTCCTGAGTCACTGGGATTACAGGCATGTGCTGCTTACTACTTGACCCTTAAAGAAAAATCACATGACTTAATAATTAGCATTATTTAAGCAAACAGCTGTATCCATCACCTGATTCTTAATCTAACATTCTAATGATGTTAGATTAGACCCTAACAATTGCTAATAAAAAAGTCAGGATGGCACCTGGCATTTTGCCAGAGGGAGTGGTTTGTAAAGTAACCCCATCAAGCCATTAAGTGTGGAGATTCCTTATTGGTTGACTGCTATATCTAGTTTATGTTAATTAAGATAAGCTGTGTGGAATGTATATATACCCCTCCTGTCCTACAATAAACGGCTCCCACTCCTGCTGTATCAATGTACACAAGTTGCTCGTCACCCCCCGCCCCCGCCCTCGTTATTTTGCTGCAGCCAGACTGCGGCAAACAATGAATGTGTACCATTATAAAATGGTCATCATCTTTGTCATCCTAATACAGCTGACTACAAGAGAAAAAAGGATTAGCAGGGTACTAGGTACATAATAAGACTGAAACTGGGGCAAAACAGACTCTTACAGGTCTTGTGAATAATTAGTAGAGAGGTCATTCATCTGAAGTTGACTTGCAAAGCTGTACCACTTACCTCTCTTTAACTTTAGCTTGCCAATTTTCTTCTTCCAAAAGGAAATTACTAATCACCAAAACTCTCATAGTAATTAAAAGTAAGTCTTGTAAAAAGAGAAAGACAAATCATAATTCTTCAAAATTGATTGTGTTGAAATCTGAAAAGTTATTGCCCTACAGAACTTTTGGAATCAACACACACTCTAAGAACAGCCAAATAACTGTATAAAATGAAATGGCCTAACTCCGGCCAGAGGCCAACATGGGGGAGGAAGGTGGAAGTCATTTGTAACAATCAGCTGGGAAAAAACATCTTCACTAGGAAGCCAAAAGAGGAAGCTGAAAGCTGTTCACATAGATTTGAGAAAGCAGCCAGCTTTATTATTTATTTGTTTGTTTTTCCTGGAACCAGCTAGACTGATTTTTGTAACGAGAAGATAGGAGACCATCACATAGTACTCTTGCATCCCTCCCCTGCTCATTTAGTACAAGGACATTACTTCCAAGAAATGTTATAGTGGCTTAGCTTCTGTTTTTCACATCTCACTAAATTTTGTAAATTGAGATCTTATTATATCTCTGAAAAAGGACAACTGTAATAACTTCGTGCTTGAGAGGCAAGCTTTTATGAACAGTTGGGGGGTGGGGAAGGCTCAACAGGACAGGAGCCTCAGAGTTTGATAACAAAAGAAACACCAAATTAGCCTTTCCTCCCATGAAGCCAAGGCCATTTTGTAGGATCAGCCTCTCCATGCCAACGGAAGGTACCTGCAGTTATTCTGCAATGAAGCCAATGCTCTAGGACTCTCCACTAATCCGCCGCGGTGAACCGGTGAACAGAACAAAACACCTAGCGAACAGCTCCGAACCTTGCGTTCTGGTGGAAATGGAATTCGCACGCTCTGCTTTTGAAACCACATTATCGAATTATTCTGCCTCACTAGTTAAACACTAAATAGTGTGGCTAGAGAAAGCGGACTTAAAAAAAAAAAAATCCCTAGGCGTCATCTCTATTCTCCCAGCGTCCTCTAGGCAACTTCAGGTATACGTAGCAGAAACTCCAACCCAGTCCTGACAGCTGTTCAGTAGAAATTAGGATTCTGGCTGCCTCTTCCCTTGGGCCTCCACAAACACTTGGGGAAAAGTGGGAGGAGAGACCCCGACCATTCCAACAACTGATACTCTAAGGGACACCTGGAGAGAGGATGGGAGAAGGGGCATAAGAGCTTAGAGCAGTCATGAATGTATGACCATGTAGGCACCAGAGTCAGTTCGAGGAGACACCCAGAACTTAATAGCGGATCTCTCGGCCTCTCGGTTCAGGTGCTCGCAGGTGAGCGCAGGAGTCCCGCTCCCCCGACTCACCTTTCTGCCGCAGGTACTGCATCTGGAGCCGCTGGCTCGGCCGCTCCTGCAGCTCCTGCAGCACGCGAGAGTCGCCGGCGCCGCGCACGCCCAGGAACACGTCGGAGCCCGAGGCCTCGGTGGAGCTGTCCAGGCTGTCACGGCGCCGCGGGCGGCCCCCCGGACCGCGGCTCCCGGCGGCCACCTCCTCCTCCTCCGTGCAGCTGTACAGCTCGGTGAGCAGGCCGCTCACCAGGGACGCCGTGCGGCTCGTGCGGCCGCGGGGCTGTTGGCCCGGCTCGGGCTCCGGCTCCTCCTCGCCTTCCCATGAGCCGCGGGAGCCGGGCGGCCGCTCCGCCGACCCTTGCCGGGGTACAGTCCGGGCCACTCCAGGAACCGCTTCCTCCACCGCGTGCTCTAGCCTCGCCTCGCCGCCGCCGCGGAACTCCCCCTCGGGGCGCCCGGTCCGACCCCCGCCGGCGGGAAGGACCTCCATGGCCCCCGGCGCTCCGCAGCCCCGCGCTGGCCGCCGGTCCCGCCTCGCGGCGCCGGCCAGTTCCGGGAGGAGGTGGACCTCGTCCCCGCCTGGGGTGCCCTGGGCCTGGCGCAGTGCCAGCGGGCTCCGGATTCCGGAGGCAGCCAGACCTTCCCTCCCGGGGCCCGCCCGGAATCCGCTGAGCTGGGCTGTGGTCCCCGGCAAAGGGGGACCTCCACGCCGCCGGGTTACCTGGGGACACCTGCCACCGGTGAGGCACCACTTCTCAGAGAGCGCTCTCTGATGAGTGTCAAGGAGCAGGATGTGGCCAGAGCCGGAGCAGGATGAAGCCGTCAGCCCGAAGGGGGATGGGCTCTCTGGCCGCTGCCACCTTCACTTTTAAGCACGTGATTTAAC